ACTGCAGAGTGTATGTTAAAAAATCTGCCCTGCATTTATAGTGCATAGAGACTTGCTAATAGGATTTTCATAACAGCATTCATCTCCCAGCACATTTTATAGTACCAACCACTATGTAACAGTAGTGTTGTTATTACATTATGTGAAAAATAGGATTTGTTCTAAGGACACGTGTTATAACCTGAACTGTGAAAGTACAATGGTAGTTGAAGCACCTATGCACTAAACCATTTTCATTCCTATCCTTTTCTACCTTTGCCAGAGTTGATATAAGAAAAACATCCTGTGCTATTATAAATAGATCAAAGATTCATATCAGTATTTCCCATGAACTAGGAGCTCAGGAGTGTAGCATCCTTCTGTACAGTGACTATGATGTTGCAGATAGCAAGAATCAACTCCTCCCAATTAGTAGCAATCATCATCAAATGGAATGTATTCCTCAGCTGATTTCCATGGAATCATGTTACTGATTTCTCTTTCTTCCATGTGCCAAGATGTGGAATTTCTCTCCAAGTTAAAGTTTAAATTCAAAGCATTATTTTTCACAAGAGAAAATTCATGAGTACTTTTATCAGTTTTTCAGATAACCACGTGCTGTGCATATTTTAAAACAAATACAAAAGAAAAAAATTGCAAACTTGGCCAAACTCATAATCCCTTACAAAATAATCCATACACAAAACCCGAGCTCTGAGCCCCATGTAACAATAGCCAAGTACCTCAGTTGTTCATAATCCTCACAAACAAAAAGAAACAATTTTCAACCTAAAACTGCTTAAAATAGCTTAAATGTAGGTAAAAATCAATCAGAGGACTTACCATCAGCCTACTGTTTTACATATTTGTTGCCTGAAGTCAATGAAAGGAGAATACACAATACTGCAGAGCTGAAAGCCATGCACTATTCAGGTAGGGCACATGATTGCATATATTGTCATAACTGGCTTTCCTAAGATTTATTATGAAACACAGTGAATTAAAGGCTCTCTTGAATGGGGACCCAAGAAAGCATAACATTCTGCTCTCAGAACTCCATCTCAGTTTGAATAAGAAATCACTCAAGAAGATATGAAAGGCCTAGATTTTCATGCCACCTTTTAACTAGGTCTAAATAAATGTTAAAGATTCTTGCTACATTTCTTTGCCTTACAAAATAGAGCATTTGCAAATGATAATCCAGTTATAGCCACTACAAAGAGCATCATGACTGAAAGATATCTAGGCTTTCTTTTCCCTCAACAAAACACATTTAAAAGACTGCAGAGAAATGCATATAGAATATGGAACATTTCCATTAATAGCACTGTTATTTTATAGAAACTTGACAATGAAATATTTATAGTTGAACTATTTTTCACTTTATTTTGCTTGTTTCAGATCATTTTGCGCCACATAGTAAATTAGGATTTATATTTATCTTCAGATCTGTCTTTTGATTTTTTGGCTTAAATTAGCTGGATACTCTAATAATGGCTGAACCCTAATTAATTCTAGAATTCTAGAATCATAACGCTGAATCAGAAAGACCTTAGAGTTTCAGCCCTCCCCCTTAACAGGCAAAGAAAATGCTCCTGGCGGTACAGGGATAATGCCAGCTGAAAATATTCTGGGGAGAATGCAAATTAGAAATGTTAGAGTAATCTACCACACTGCAAAAGAGAAATTTCTTTTTTCTGAATTTAGGTCTGATATAGAAATGAGATTTACATCTGTGGAAACTCCTTGTGGTGAATTTCAACTGGAGACTTTAAAGTCAAAACAAAGCCAAGATGTTTTATATGGAAAGAGAGGAGGAAGGCATTTTCTGTCTTTTTAATTGCAAAAACATATCTGGCCGGCTAGCACAGAGGATATTTAGAAGATTGAACAGTCATAGTTCAGCCCTGGATCTCAGATCCCTGAGAAAGTTTAAGCCACTGATTATGACCCTTTTTACTGGTAAAGTGTCCAGTGTTTATTTTCCTCAAAACAACCCTTCCACCCCCAAATCTGCAGTTTTGTTTTTATTGATTCTGAGCCAAATACTCCAATGTGTGCTGATCTAACAGCACGTACATGTCCTGGGTTGCCCTGACAATCCCAAATTCTGCTTGTTACCCAGAAGTAGATAATAATAGTGGCTCTTTTATGGTTGATAAGTTCCATTTTAAGTTATTCACGCCAATTCTAATCCAAGTGCATCTGTGACTGCCACCTTTTGCCTGCTCAGTGGAATTTTGTGGGTGGTCTTATTGTGAGTGGGTGGTCTTATTGTGAGTTGGTGGGTATAGCCTGAAACATCAGTGGACCCTCAGGCTCTAGCTCATCCTCCCAGGAGGGCTTCAGGGCTTTTAGGCAGAAGGAATAGCATATTGGGAATGACTGTCAGTCCTGGTCTTTTCCAACACGTTTTCCTGAAACAAGGAGGATGCTTGTGGGTGGGAGGAAGCTTCCAGGGAAGAAGGGAATAGTACAGCTTGTGCTGAAAGAAACTCAAGACTCATTATTTTCTTCTGCGTTTGTTTGGAGAACATTTAATGAGGATGTGTGTTAGATACTTGGAAAGTAGGATGACATAGTCCCTACTATGAGAGACTCTTTGTTCAGAGAGAGAAAAGGTCAAGTCAAGTAACAGTGGATACACAGGGACATTTAATCACTCAGCTTGAGGATATGGGGACATGAGTCACAGAGAGATTTAGGGAGGGCAGTCACTTGAACTACAATTTGGAGGACATAATATGAGTTAACCAGGCTGGGGTGGAAGGGATGGGAAAGGACCTCTGGGTAGAGGGAATAGGACCTGCAGAGGCATAGTGTATGTTTTGTACCAGTTAACTTTTGCTGTGTAACAAGCCATCCCCCTCAATTAAATAAAAAAAAAAACAGCATTATTTAGCTTACCCTTCTGTGGGTTGGCTGTGTTGCCAGAGAGTAGGTTCTTGCACAGGAAAGGATTCAAGAGTGAGCCATAGTAAAGTGAAAGCAAGCTGACTTAGAGAGGTACACATTCCATAGGCAGAATGCATCCATCTCAGAAGAGATACTGACCATGAGTTCTGGGGGTTGTTGGTGTTTATGGGCTGGGTAATTTCATATGCTAACAAGTGGGAGGATTATTCCAACTATTTGGGGGGAAAGAGTAGGGATTCCCAAGAATTGGGCCATCACCCAGTTTTTGACCTTTTATGGTCAGCCTTGAAACTGTCATGGCACCTGTGGGAGTGCCATCTAGCATGCTAATATATTACAGTGAGCATAAAATGAGGCTCAGGGTCTACTGGAAGTTGAATCTTCTGCCATCTTGGTGCTAATTGGGTCTAACCAGTTTATGTCCTATCCTCAATGGCTGTGTCATTCTTTTAGTGGTTGCACCCTGTCCTCTTCCCTCTTGTCTCAACTGGAGGTCCTTCTTGCAGAGCAGCTTGGTTGATATCTTCTGGGCTGGGTTGTGTGTCTACAGATAACTAATTTGGTTTTCTTCTCCTTCACCTTGAAAGGATTCCACATAGATTTGTCTGTAGGAATTGATGTCTCCACCCCCAGGAGGCAAATTCAGCAGTCGCTTGAAGGGTTACTGCCAGAGCTGATGCAAGAGCTAGCCTTGCTTTCCAACATCAGCTGTAGCCTTCCTGGTCAAACCGACGTGATGTTCCACTATGTGGTTCCTGGTTCAAGTGGCCAGCTCATCTTTGACTCAGGTTTTGAAAAGTACAGTGATGGGAGAATTCAGAAGTTCTTGATTCAGCAGGCTGCCAATAGCAACCACATGGATGTGGGTTTTTTGCAGTCCCTGGGAGATAGTGCTCTCCGCCTCTCTTCTGCTAAAGTGAAGGTTACAAATGCTGAGAACCCACATTATCGAACCATTAGGCATGAGGAGGGATAAGGCTTTTGGGACTGAGGACAAATAAACTGTTCTTCACTGAGGATCATGCATAGAGGAAAACTAGTCTTATTCAGTCAAGATTGACAAGAGATGTGTTTTCATTCAATCAACAAGTATTTACTAAGCGCTAGAGGCTCTTTGCTAAATGTCATTAGAGGTAAAAGGTTAAAGTCACTGCCCTTGGGTTGCCCACAGCTTAGCGATCCAGGTTTTCCACGACATAAATTCCTTCCAAAGACAGCTTGGAAGATATTAGCTCCTCATGGTCACTCATTGTAAGAACCCATTGTTTCTCTCTTTCTTTCACTCTCTCTCTTTCATGATTTTATTTATTTATTTGTTTGTTTATTTATTTTAATTGACATATAGTCAATTTCCAATGTTGGGTCTGTTTCTGGTATACAGCATCATGTTTCATATACATACATCTATTCCTTTTCATATTCTTTTTTTGTCATCAGTTACTACAAGATATTTAATACAGCTTCCTGTGCTATATAGTAGAACCCTGTTGTTTGTCTTTTTTATATATAGTAGTATCTGCTGATCTCACACTCCCAATTTATCCCTTCCCAACCCCTTCTCTACTCTGGTAACCATAAGTTTGTAGGACCCATTGTTTTTGTAATCAGCCCCCTGAACCATCTTTAGTGACAGTTAATGGCTTGTTAGCATAACCCCTCTCCTCCCTTTCTGCTGCCCCAGAACCATGCACCCACAGAAGTCATAGAAGTAAAAAGATCTCATATGACATCTATTAGGAAAAGACCTCCCCAAACTTTGAAAGTTACATTGAGTTTTTCCTTCCATCATGCATCCGATGGATTTATTTCTTAAAAAATGTAATCCACTTTCTAAATTCAATTTTTCTATGAGTAAAGGTAACATAGATAAAGAACATTGTAAGACAATTTTTGGACGATATCTTTAAGTGAACACATTAAGCTGCTTCAAATTCTTTTTCAGCGGTTGGGGGGTGTGTGTGGGAGGACATGGAGGACAAGTGAGTGTGTAATAAAGTAATAAATGAATGGGTAAAATGGATTAGAACAGGGTGAAAGGCTGGTTATAGCTTACCCTTGCATTTTTTAAGAAACGTGCAATA